AGGGTCCAGGGTCAGAGAGGAAGCCTGAGGCCCACAGCTAGCCGTAGCTAACTGCAGTGACTGACGACTCGCAGTCAGCTCTCAAAATGCAACAAAACGTATCTACATTTTTTTGCTTTGTTTTGTTTTTTTAATGTCTAGAGGACCAGATTGAACTTTTTTCTACCTGGATTATTGAGCATGCATCAGGATATTACTTTTATTGGTTTTGTATTGAGATATTTACAGTCAGAAACATAGGAGACCATGGCTGAGAAACATAATTTAAAATGTGCATCCTTTAATGTAAATGATGTTTATAATCCCACTAAGAGAAACAAGATATTATCTAAAATAAAGAAGCAGAATATACAAATTGCCATTCTACAAGAAACACGTCTTAGTTCTCTAGAACACGAAAAACTGAAACGGAAGGGTTTTTCTCAAATATACTAGTCATCCTATAAATCAAGTGTTAGGCGGGATGTAGCCACTCTAATATCATAAAGAGTCCCATTTGAATTAATTTCTGAAACTAAAGATAAGGAAGAAAAATACTTAATGATAACAGGTAGAATAGATGGAGTCCAAATGACATCATTTAATCATGTATACATTCCCCTGGGCAGTGACTTTTCAGTCTATAGAAAATTTTTTGATCTAATGGCTCAATCAACTGATATACTTGTCTATGGGAGAGACTGGAATTTAAGAATTAATCCCAGACTTGACTTTACAAAACAAACTGCCCAAATATCTTCACAGAAAAAAAAAAGATTATTCTGTCAGAATGTGGTATCATTGACATCTAGAGGGATTTATACCCAGCAAACCATGATTATACTCATTTCTCCCATTCACATACAGTATATTCTAGAATAGATTATTTTTTTCATTTTTAAAAGACAGTCATAGAGTAAGTAACTGCAAGATTGGCAATATTTACCAGTCTGACCATGCAGCCATGAAAGTTGTCTCCATGCACCTTCTGCTGGATACATTGTACAATTACAACCAGTTCCAGCATTTTAGGGGTGAAAATTAAAAGTGCTTATATCGGTGCATAATGGGACCATTATCGCTGATACAATAGGTCCCTAAAAGCCTATACCAGTCAAACTTATCTGTCCTGCCGATACATACATGGGTCGGGCTCATGTCACATACAGTATGTACTCATGTCCTTAATGCTCTCTTGTGAGTAAAATGCCAGTTAAGAATCTTCAACTGCCATGAGGTTGTAGATCGTAATTGAGTAAACAATGTTAGTGAAGTGGAGATTTTTTCTAACCTTAACCAACACTTTTTTTTTTTTTTTTCCCCAAGATGGCCGCGCTCAGAGCAGTTGCAGCTTCACAGGCTCCCGGTACCATCCCAGTTTTTAGAAGTTTTGATATTGACTCTGTGCCTGACTCCGCGCGATTTATGCGTATGAACTATAGCCGAACCGAACTGATGAGAATAGGAGCAGATTTGCCACGAAATATAGCAGAAATCAGCAACAAACTCAAAGCTACGCTCGGCAGAATGCAGATCTTAAAGTCATCTACCTGGAAGCTGCAGCAGAGGCGTTCCAGCGGGCAGAAGAGGAAGCGCTGCTCCCGGCTTAAGAGGAGAGGATGCCGGGCGGGGGTTATGGTGAGGCTACGAGCTAACGCTAAAGCCGGTAAACTCCCCATGCCGTCTCTCTTTCTGTCGAACGTCCGCTCGTTGGACAACAAGGTGGATTTACTTCGTCTGAGAGCGGGCGCCTCAGAAGAGATGAAGAAGTGTGCAGTGCTTTGCCTCACGGAAACGTGGATTACAAGTGAAACGCCGGACTCAGTCTTCCAGCTGGATGACAGACTTTTTTTTCGAGCGGACCGCTGCAGCGAGCTAACGGGGAAATCACGGGGGGGCGGAGTGTGCATTTACGTGAGTAAAAGTTGGTCCACGAACTGTACTGTTGTAAATAGCTCATGCTCGAAGGCTTTGGAGCAAATAACAGTGAAATGTCGGCCACATCATCTACCCCGCGAGTTCACGGTGACTTTCATCTCTGTCGTTTACATTCCTCCGGACGCTAATGCTAATGAATCACTGCAGGAGCTACATGATATCATCAGCTCGCTGCAGAACAAACACCCTGAGGCTCTTTACGTTGTAGCCGGAGACTTTAACCACGTGAATCTAAAGGACTGTCTCCCAAGCTTTAATCAGCATGTGACGATTCCAACACGTGGAGACCGCACGCTGGACCGTGTTTACACGAACGTAAAAGATGCATACAAAGCCGAACCCCGCCCCCACCTAGGACTGTCAGACCACATCTCAATCTTCCTGGCTCCTGCTTACATGCCCCCGCTGAGACGCTCCAGACCGGTACAAAAGAAAGTTAAATGTTGGAGCCGGGACAGTGGCCCCATACTGAGAGATTGTTTTGATCGAACAGACTGGCAGGTTTTCAGAGAAGCTGCTGAAAATGGAGGTTTGCTTGATCTTGACCAATACACATCCTCAGTACTGGGTTACATTAGTACATGTACTGACACAGTCTCCACTATCAGAAATGTTAAAAGCTACCCAAACAGAAAACCTTGGCTGAATGCAGAGGTGCGTACCCTGCTGGAAGCCAGGAACACTGCCTTCAGGTCTGGAAACTCAGAGGAGCTGAGGAGGACAAGAAAAGAGCTGGTTGCTGGTATTAAGAGGGCCAAGGCCACATATGCAAAGAGGATCGAGGGTCAATTCATCTCACAAGACCCTCTGAGCATGTGGAGGGGCATTAAGTGCATAACAGATTATAAAGGAAGGAGTGAACAATGTCCCAAAGACCCATCTCTGCCTGATGCCCTTAACAAGTTCTATGTACGCTTTGAAGACCCGAACAGACCACCCAGCACCAGACTCACCTCGCCACCGGATGAAGAGCATCTCAGCGTGACCTCGGCAGAAGTAAGGAGTACTTTCAGGAGGATTAATCCGCACAAAGCAACTGGCCCAGACAACATCCCCGGAAAAGTGTTGAAGGAATGCGCTGATCAGCTCTGCACGGTGCTGGCAGACATCTTTAACACCTCACTTACCCTGGAGACAGTTCCCACCTGCCTGAAGACTGCCACCATCATCCCAGTCCCAAAAAGCTCTACAGTGACTGGTCTGAATGACTATCGGCCAGTGGCCCTCACCCCGATAGTCGCTAAATGCTTCGAAAAACTGGTCATGACTCACATCAAAACAACCATCAACATCAACGAGGACCCTCATCAGTACGCATACCGTGAGAACCGATCAACAGAGGATGCAATCTCCTCTGTGGTCCACACTGCACTCAACCACCTGGAGCAGAAAAACTCTTACGTCCGTATGCTCTTTGTGGACTTCACATCCGCCTTCAACACCATGATCCCCCAAACCCTGATGGACAAACTATCCACACTAGGACTAAGCCCCTCCATCTGCAACTGGGTACTAGACTTTTTAACAAACAGACCACAGTTAGTGAGGATCCACAACCTCTCCTCCTCCACCATAACCCTCAGCACTGGCTCTCCTCAGGGATGTGTGTTGAGCCCCCTTTTGTTTACTCTGCTCACATATGAATGTGCAGCTACCCATCCAGGCTGTCACATTGTAAAGTTTGCAGATGATACAGCGGTGGTGGGATGCATCACAAACAATGATGAGTCCAGCTACAGGCAAGAGGTGGAACACCTGGAGAGCTGGTGCAGAGAGAATAACCTTCACATCAATGTGAAGAAGACAAAGGAGATGATTGTGGACTTCAGAAGGAACAAAAACACCTACACCCCCCTGAACATAAGAGGATCTGTGGTGGAAGTGGTCTCCAGCTACAAGTACTTGGGTGTACACATGAATGACAACCTCAGCTGGAGCAACAACACCACCAGCCTGATCAAGAAAGCTCATCAGAGACTCTACTTCCTCAGACGGCTGAGGCGAGCTGGTCTGGGAAGCTCAGTCCTCACCTCCTTCTACAGGTGTGCAGTGGAGAGCATCCTGTGCTCGAGCATCAATGTGTGGCATGGAGGCTGCACAGCTGCAGAAAGAAAAGCTTTGCAGAGAGTGGTGAAGGCTGCACAGAAATCTGTTGGAATCAGTCTCCCCACCATCACAGACATCTACACCTCCAGATGCAGGAAGAGGGCCACCTGCATCATGAAGGACCCCACCCACCCAGCACACACACTTTTTGCCCCACTCCCCTCAGGAAGGAGGTTAAGGAGCATTAAGTGTAGAACCACTAGACTGAGGAACAGCTTCTACCCTGAGGCTGTTAGACTCATGAACTAGAATAATCACTGTGTAAAACCATATCATGTTGCTGATGATCTGTTTCATGTTGCTGCTGATCTGTTTCAATGTTGATGTGTTCATGCGTGCACATCTGCTCACAGAC